TTTCTTTAATCCGCTAACGAAGACACACCTCTCGTGACCAATGGTTTACGAGCACATCACGTCCAAACTCTGGTTCCCGTAAGATCACCGAAGTTAAGCAACGTTGAGCCTAATCACTGCAAGGATGGCTGAGTGCTAGAGAGTTCCAGATGCTGTGAGCTTGGATGCGCATCTGGTGTAATGGATAACGACTCGGAATTGGAAATTGAAGAGATGGGCTCTGTTTCCACTTGAGTTCTTTAGAATCACTGTACTTCTGGCAAACATGTGAATTCTTCTCTAATCAACCTTGGCCCAGCTATTGATTGATTAGTAAGACTTGTATCTCTAAACACATTACAATCTTTAAAAAAAAATCTAAATCATATTTCCAGGCTTTAAACAACCTGCAAATGGTTGATAAGCAGTAGAAAATCGATTAGTCAATCAATCGTGACCAATACGCTGTTATGAGTTTATAAAGACTTATTCCACATGTACTAATATTTATGGTTATAATTCATTGCGACAGAACACCCAGATTACAAATCAATGAAAAGTATTTATACCCCATTCAAAACGGATTCATTAAACGCCAAAGTAAAAATAAAATAATAGTTCAATGGTTATTTCACAGAGATATTTTCTCTCTTTCATTCTAAAGCCAAATGGATAAACTCAATATGTCCTAATGATTTAGATAAAAATTTACTTCTTGTTGCTAGTATTAATAAAACAAGCATGATATTTAAAGGGTAGCTAAGCAATGACAAATGCAGTTTCGTTTTAAATCAACTATTATAAACTATCGTGGCTCCTTACCCATATTTTCAGGAATTAGTAGGATATTCGTCTCCAGGTAAGCTGGTCGAACTCTCTGTCTTCGGGCGGAGAGGAACCCAGACGAGGCTATACCAAAGGGCAGAAGTCTCCTCTGGGGAGGTAGACAGCTACCCGGCCCCGTTTATTATGGAGCCTACAGGGAATTTTTGTCCGAGCCTACGGGCTCGGATACACCATATTAAATTCGGGTTTGTGGCACGTTTGACCGTGTGGGGCGGTTGGCAAATATCCTTTCCCCGATTTTCGGTCATAGATCAAAGTGTAGTATCTGTTCTCTTTTCCCCATTAAAGTTATGAAAATAGACTATTCCCCAAAACAGTTACACATGTCGCCAGCGTAGACAAATACCAGCGTGTAGAAAAAGGAATTCTGTCTACCAGACAGACACCACGTTGCTTCTTAAAAATGATTGAACGTGGAACCACTTCTTAATTGCTGGTGTTCTCATATTCACCCTGACCCGGGGTGGTAGAACCTGTTAGGGTCCCAGTTATGGGCAAATAGTTAACCTCCAAACTAGGGGCAAAGCATTTGAAAGTGTAAATATTGGTTTTAATACCAGAAATACTTTGTAAAAAAATTATTAACCGCAATATATTTTTGAAAAAAATATTACCAGCAATAAAGATCTTGTCGGCATTGAAATAACCCATTGAAATTGATATGCCGTAAAACAAAACAAACCAAACCAAACCAGACGTAGTTAATCAGATTCACGATACATTCATTCATTACAATTTACACATCCACCACAAAAAAAGTCCTTCTTCCTTCAATCGTACATAAATCACAATACCGTACACACATACAGGAAACCTACACAACGCCCCATGACATGAAAATTCTTGAGTATAAAATTATATATAAAAATTTCTTAATGGCAAAACATAAATTGTCTGTTATTTTTAATCAAACTTGTTTGGATATATAAATATGTATTTTGTAAGGATTATTTTTTTATTCAACATTGTTTCCCATTACAATAAACATTTTTTTTTCTAATAAAAATTAATGTTGGATAAAAAATCCTTTAAAAAAAATCCTGTTGTTTACGTTTCGGATACGAAACTGAAGCTATCAGATATATATTGGTCGAAGTCACATGGAGAAAAAAACAGCTCTACCTTAACAGGTTATTCTGAATGTGTTCTGTCACTTTTGATCCGTGACGATGCCGTCCATTTTGTTGTGGTCATTGATTCCACCGGAGGAAACCATCTGCTATGGTCGCTGACTTCAATCTACGAAGTCATCCACCAAGCGATGCTGTGTGCTACCCGCATTGGCTTCATACATAGCCATAAAGGTCTGTGTTGCTCCATTAGGATAGACCAACACCATCGACATAGAAGGCATGTTCGATTAAACGTAATATCACCGTAAGTAGTACACGGTGCTTCTAAATCTGGAGACACAAGTAAAAATGCATATTTTCAAGAAATTATATTTTCAAAAAAGTTTTATTGAATTGGAATATTAGAAAATAATATCTTCAATATGATTTCCATTATTTGTGATGCAATGGGTGATGCGATTGGGAAGATACCTGTGAAGACGTTTGAATGACCCCAAATTGCCGCCGATTTTAGTACATTCACTCTTTGTGCGTTCATTCAAGTGGATTTCATCTTTGATTTTCACTGAGTACACCTCCTTTAGCATACCCCAGACAAAAAACTCAATTCTTTCTGTTTAATCTGTGGAGGTAAAAAAGAATATATAGTTAATGATAGTTAATATTTAGTTAATAATGTAGTCCTGTCTTCAGACTTTAGGGGTACCCTGTATAAGCGAAGCTGATGAAAATGAATGATTGTAGTATTTTTATGTATAGAATATTTTTCAGATTACAATTAAAAAAGAAAGAAACCAGGGTTCGAATTTCATCTTAGAACTTTATATTCAATATTAATTTATAGAGATAAAGAAAACTCAAGCAAACAATAAATATATTATAAAAAAAAATATTCAGTACATTACGATGCTGACAATTGAAATTGACTGAATAATTTTTCATATCAGACGAAAAAAAAAACCAAGCTTCGATTTTTACATGACATCTTTAAATAAATAATTAAATGAATAAAGAAGGAACAAAAACAATAAATAGATAAAAAATCCGTTTTATTTTAATGATTATTTCATAAAGTTTCTATACTGACATAGAATAATTTTTATTACATTGGAAAAGAAAGAAACTAAGCATCGATTTTTACCTTATAGTAAACATTATTCAATAATATTTTCTAAAGGAAAATTATTGAAAGTTTTACATTTGTTGCTATGTTAAAGTAAATAGTGTAAGATTCATTTACTATTGAATTTAAAGACTGTAAATTTTGTTCTCCTTATTTTAATTGTGTACAATTATTTAAAAACTATCATGAAAATAAAAAAAAATACATGGTTGTAATTTGCATGTTTTATTTTATTTTAATTATTCTTTTGTAGTAAAATTACATTATTGTTCGGTTTTTTGTCCTCATCTCTGTTGCCATATTTATCACAACGTTTCGGCCGTTGTACACTCTGGCCTTCTTAAGGTGGTTGGAATGTCGAACTGAATCCTTTATTTCGCTTTTTGCGGTAGACTATTCTAGTTCCACGTGCCATGTCTAATGTATGTCAGTCATCAGTTATCTCCTATTAATTTATCTTTCCAAGTTCTCCACTGCCTTAACCAGGTATTGAACTCACAACTATTTGGGTCCTGTCACGGGATCTAACCACTGTGTCATGTGTCGTTAAGGGCATCTGGGTATGGATTTCTGGGACTTATAAACTGAATGTCTTCGGTCTGTTTATTTTTACCAGTGCTCATATTGTAATTTTTACTGTTATCATTGCTTTTTTTTTTTTTTTTACCAGAGCTCGTATTGCAATTTTTGGTTGTTATTATTGCTTTTCTCTAGCCTGAAGAAAACCGGAGCGTACAACAAATATGGCAACACAGATGAGGACAATAGTCCGAATAATGGAGATAGTGTACATAATGCCTCATCTCAGAAATATAGACAGTCATTTTTGTTGTGTAGAAAATAAACGACAAATTTTAAATAATTGTTGGAAGAATGATACTACGTACATCTTGGGGAAATTTAGCTGAAGATTTGGGGTATTCTTTTTTGGGTTAATTTATTTCTATTATCATTATTTTTCCCTAGCAAAAAAATTATTCAAAAGAACATTTGAAAAGCCCCCGACAAGCATACAACCTGAAAAAGATGATCCTTATCTGCCAAAATATTCAAGGTTATCTGCATGGCCAATTTCCTTTGAGTTATCGAATGTCGAAAAGAGGGAACGCACAATAAACCGGCCTTGTGCCACATACACCCTCGTGGGGGGGGCGTTAAATATTAATAGTGTTCTACCGAGACTGTTCATAGCTCCTGTCGCACTCTCTGCTTTTGGCAGAGAGGAACCCGAACGAGTCTATGCCGAAGGGCAAGGTTTCGTTCGGGGAGGTAGACAAGCCCTAAATCCGTTTAGGCGGGTTCAAAGGGAATATTTTTAGCCGAGCCTACTGGATTGGAGAACCCACAATAAACCGGCCTTGTGCTACATACGACCCACGTGTTGGGGCCGTTAAATATAACAGTTTTCTACTGAGACTGTTCAGAGCTCGTGTCGGACTCTCTGATTTTGGCAAAGAGGAACCCGGACGAGGCTGTGCCGAAGGGCAATGTTTCGTCCGGTGAGGTAGACAGACCCGAACCCATTTATGTGTGTTCTACGGAAAAATTTTGGCAGAGCCTACAAGCTCGGATGA